ACATTACTGCATAGCTATCGTGCCCGCTGTAACCCTCTGGAGAGGTTAACCTCTGCCTCCAGCTAGGGTGGCACTTCCTGAAGGCTGTCTTGCACGGGGCTAAGAAACCAATCCTTCGAGGATGCTTTTCCTCAAGAGCACAAGCCTCTCACTCTGCTCACAAGGAAACTGACTAAACTCGAGGTCTAAACTAAATCCTGCCCCCTCCATCTCCATCTGGAGTCTGTCTATCTGTCTCTTTTTCTCTGGCTGAAAGTACAGGGCTAAGTACCATCCTGAACCTCTCCTCTGGTATCACCTTAGATCCCTGAATTCAGAACAAAACTGTGCAGAACAGATCGCCCTGAGAAAGAGAACTCGTTCCACGAGGGTGAGTTGCACCCTGGGGCAGAAGTGGTCAGCCAGTGGGATCCAGACTGAGCTCCTAAAGCAATGGCACTGATGATGATGACGGAGGCGAGGCTCCTAAGAACCCCCTAGAAGAACCAGAGTGGAGATAAAGAGGACCAGGACTGGTTGACAGTGAGCCTAGCTTGCCCCAGCACTTCCTCCGTTCAGACCCAGGGTTCGTGTCAGCATCCTGAAAACGGTCTCCGTGTCTCTGTCTTCCTCAGTTCGTTCTTCCGCCCAACCTGGTCATGTTGGATAAACTTCCTTTTAACATTTTTTTCCCCACCATTACTGGTCTCTAACTGGTTTGTTGGGACCAGATGGCTGAGCCTTGGTAGCTAGGGCGGAGGGCTGCGGAAGCCCAGGTTTACACGATAAAACTCCAGTTACCATCACAAGAGGCTACTTTAGTGACACCCTTAGGAAGTCACGGTGGGGATGGGGGTAGGGGAGAATGGAACCACTGAACCAAACTGCTTGGCTCTTCATGCCATGCCGTGGCCAGAAGGGAAATGACCTGAGAGGTTGGGTAACTTGTCCAGGTCCATAGAGAGAATTACTGATTAACTGGGGACTCGTGAGAAAACAAAACAAAAAAACCCTACCAGCAGCTTAGGCTCGGTGGTGGGAGCTGGGCTAGGGCAGAAAATGGGATAGCCCAGTGCCGCCCAGTGCTGTGGTCTTCCCGCACAGATTATAATAAACTTTTCACCTCACGACAGTTTGGTTCTTTCCTTCACCTTGTGGGTACTGGGGAGGGTTGAATTCAGGTCATCAGGCTTGGCGGCCAGAGCCTTTACCTGCTAAGCTCTCTTCTCTACCCTTCAATCTACCTTTAAAATAAATAGAAGAAGTACATGTTGGTAGGTTGGGGTGTAGCTCAGTCATTAGAACACCTGTCTGGCATGCACTAGGCCCTGGGTTTGACTCCTAGCACCACATAAAACAGGTACGATAGTACATACACACAAGCAGACCCGGCATGGAGGATCACAAATCCATCATCAGCTACATAGCAATTTCAGGGCCAGCCCGGGCTACATGAGACCCTGTCTCAAAACAATTTTAATAGCAGAGTCTGAGAACTTTCCTTTCCCTAGAAAGCTTTGGTGCCTTCTGGGGTTAGTCTACTGTACTACTTAAAGGCTGTGGTCTTCAAAAAATCCCTTTCAGGTTGGATATGTACTTTAGTGTAAATTATCTATCTTGCATGTATAAGTCCTTGGGTTCCATACCTCACCAAAAAGAGGCAGCTTTAGAAAAGCCTTTTTCCTTTTCTTATGGGCTCCCCTCAGCCAGAAGGAGCAGCTGACGCAGTAGGATACAGCACTCCTATCCCTCCTACCCTCACTCTATACACTCAGGTTTCTTCGAGAGCAGTGTTTTCCAGCTACTGACCTACAGCCATTGATCCCCAGCTGGACGGGGCCCCAGGCACTCCGCCCAGGATCAGAAATGGCCTCCTTGGGTTTGAATCCCACATGATGTAACTATGTGAATGGCCATAAGGTCTGGCATCTCACAGGGTTCCAGGAGTCCTGAGATCAAAGCCCCAAGGTTATTTAGAATCTGTGTGGTAAGGTGCGAAGTGCCTGAGTTCAAATGCCCAGTACCCAGGTAAAAGCCCTGCCTACCATCCTACTGCAAGATGGCAGGCAGAGACAAGAGAATCCATGATAACTCAAGGGCCAGTGGCGAACAAAGAGGCCCTGTCTCGTATGGAAAATGGGGGTAAAAACAGCTGCAAGATGGCTCAGCAAATAAGAAGCTGATGACCCATGTTCCATCCAGGACCCACAATATGGAAGGAGAGGACCAACTTCTACAAGTTGTCCTCTGACCTTTGCATGCATGCCATGGCACAAATGTACATACACAAATAAATAAATAAGTGTAAATAAAAATATTTTTTAAAAAAACCGTAAAGATTATGGTCAAGGTGTAAAGAATAAAGAAAAACTATTTGTTGTTGTTGTTGCTTTTAAGACAGGGTCTCTCTGTGTATGGACCAGACTGGTATCAAACTCAGGAGCCTCTGCCTCCTGAGTGCTGAGATTAAAGGCAAAGACTCGGACTACCACACCAGGCAAGAATGAAGATGAGCGCACCCAACAGTTCTTTGCACTGAAAGTTCGTGCACAGGAGTGCTATGCAAGGGCTACAACTATTCTTTACTTTTCTTTTGGGATGGGGCCTCCTGTATCCAGGGCGACTTTGAACTTCCAGATCCTGCAGCCTGCGCCTCTGAGTGCTGGAATTACAGATACACAGTTTATGCCTCCCTGGGGAAGAAACTGGGGCTTCCCCATGTAAAGGAGCACGTCTTCAGCCACTTCTTTATATTTGAAGGCTATGTACGGTGTCTCTCTCTGTGTAATGGTCTGATACCAGCATTTAACAAAGCAAGGGTTCCCCGAGTCTGCTCAGCTGGAAGGGTTCCATCAGTGACAAGGATGGCTTCAGGACACCAGCCTTGAGAAAGAGGAACCTGGGGCTCAGGTGGCCTCCTGAGTACCACACCCTTCTGAGGTTACCGAAGCAGCACTAGCTCTCCACACAGAGCACCCTACAGTTTACAAGGCATTTTCATATCTGCGGGCTCCATACCACAAAAAGGTATCAGCACTCCTTTTACAGATGGGGGAATCTGGGCTCACAGAACCCCAACACACACAGCTCTGCAGGGGCCAGTCTCCGTGGGGGCTTCCCAGTCCTCCAGGAGAGGACATTCCGAAGACAAATGGAATGCAGGATGTAAACAGAAGAGGCTGGATTCTAAGCCAAGCAAGCTAGGATACAACCCTCATTCCCCACCCTCCATATAGCAAATCTGTGGAGCCCACATCCTCAGCGCTGACCCCACCCCGGAAGTCTCTTGAGGCTGGCTAGAGGTGCACGAAGCCACCACTGAACCTGAATGGCATGGTAAAGAACCACCACCCAGGCCCAACACATCTTACCAGCCATGGGCCTATGTACAGGCCTCCTCCTGCAGGGAGGAAGGAATCAAGGTGGGGAGGTGCGCAGCTTGTGGGTGGAGGGGCAGAGAAGGGTGGGGCTAGGCCTGGTGTCCAGGACTCCTCTGGGAGCTGCAGTGCAGATGCATGCATGGTCCCTGGCAGCTCTCCAGCGCTGCAGTCCCTTCCTCCCAGCCCCCCTCCCTCCCCTTCCCCCCCCAGCATCTCCATTCTCAGGGCAAATCCATGTTCTGTCCAGCAACAGCTGCATCCTGAGCCCAGAAACAGCAAATAGGTTCAGGATCCCAGCAGAGAGAGAGGCTCACGAACAAAGGACAGGAAGTAAAGGGACATGGCTGAGTGACACTCGCAGCTGCAAGGGGATGGATGAAGGCGTTCTCTTCCCTCCATGCCCAGCCACACCCAACTCCCAAATCTGAGAATAGATGAATGGGGTGGGGATGGGGGGAGCAGGGAGGGGTGAAGAGGCACCGGAAGCGGCAGCCACCTCAGCAGACTGCTATGGGGGAACAAGGGCCCCAGGCAAGCTGCAACCCACGGAAGTAGGAGAGGATTGCCCAGGGTCTTCAGCAGGGCTTAGCGTCTGCGCCAGAACATCAGGGCGCACAGGGTTTGAAACGGTTGCAGATGAGGCAAGGTTGGAGACTCGGACTATCCTGTCTGGGGGTGGGGACAGCAGCTTCAAGATGTGATCTAGTGGAGAGAAGGTGGAAAGGAGGGCAGATTCTCGGGGCGAGGGTGGTGGTGGTGGTGGACGACACCAGGAGCCCTTACAAACCCAGGAGCCATATGCCCAAATTTGGAAGAGTCTGGAAGACCCATCAGAGTTTAGACAAAAGGAACGGGTAGGAGGAAGCCGAGGCCAGATTCACTCTCCTTAAAGGAGCTTTTCATCGCCCACACCTGTACTCAAGATTCCCCAACCAGCAGCCAAATCACTGTACTTTCTACAGGACTGCTTATCTAAAAATGGGGAGGGGGTTATCAGCTCCTGGGAGAGGGAAAGCGACCGGCTCAAGGCCACACTGAAAGCTGGTGGTGGGATCTGAATTCGAGGTCAGTAAGAAGCATCTAAAGCCCTGGAGCATTGAGAAGGCACGGGGTTGACTTAAGAGGAGCAAAAGAAAGCGTGGGGCCTCTGCATCCTGCTAAAAGCCTCGGTGGCTCCCGGACAGGTGAGCAGCTGCAGTTGGGGCTGGTCCATCAGAACCCCTCGGGATAGATAGCTGGTCCTTCCTCGGTGGCCAGCAGGGAGCCTCTCTCCGGGACCACACCACGAGCCGTCTGGCGCGCAGCATACGGTTCAATTCCTCAAGCTCTCCAAGTTGGGGAACTCACAGCCTCCACCATCCCATGGTCCCTAGGTCCGCTTTCCCTGTCTCCCCAAGTTTTTCCACTAGTTAAGGCAATTAGACGATCCGGGCCTTGAACCACACCCTCGGCGGGGCCGAGTCTCCACCAACTCCCCTCCCCCGCAGGGGCGCTGTCACCCCGCGCCTCGGGTTCCCTCCTGGGACACACCCAGCCGCAACACCCCGCGGTAGCCGCACCCCAGCAGGGGCCCAGCCAGGTGCTTGTCCCTAGTCCCTACAGTTCTGGACCCTGTGCCCTGCAGCTACTCTGCACACTCACCGCGCTTGGGAGGCCTTGGGTCAGAGCGGACAGACAGACACACGCAGCTCGAAGCCCAGCAGCAGCCGCAGCGCAGGCTGGCGCACTGTGGCGGGGGACACGTGGCGCGCACGGGCCAATCGGGCTCGCCTGCTGCCCGCCCCGCCCCGTTCCGCCCCATCCCCGGAGCTTCACTTTTGGAGTCTGGGTGTCTCCAGCTGCAGGGACAGGCGAAGGGGAGGCGCCCTCCCGGGGAACCTGCAGCCTCCTACCTGGGGCTGTTCTGACCCCAGCCCTGGATGGAGCCTCCGGAGGAAAGGGGACTAGCCAAAGGCCACACGCTGCCATCCAGAATCTGGAGTCAAGTTAGTGTCCTGTTCTGGACACTCTCTCCCACATTCCTGCCACTCACCAAAGCTTTGTTGAGAAACAGAAGATCAAGGTTCGCCAAAATTGAGACCTTACCGCACTGATGAGATTCCGTGCATTCCTGTCCTATCGGGTCACCTGCTTCGCAAGGAAGGAAAGGCCAGAGGACACAATGCCTCGCCCAGGGTCACACAGCTTGCAGATTGTGGGATTGGAAATCGAATTTAGGGCAGGTGGCTCCAGAGGGATCCTTTGGCCTTGGGGTAAGAGTTCTGGTCGAAGTGGAACCTACAAGAAGACCAGAAATTGGCTTCTAGATCTGTGTGGGGACGAGGCACAAACTCTGAGAGTTCCTAGGGAGCAGATGGTCTAGCTTTAACAGAGAAGGTCTTGCTGTTTGGTGGCCAGAGAGGACAGCAAACTTATGTCTGTGAGCAGGTTCTTCTCTGAGTTTTTTAAAAAGGGGACTTTATCAGGGGCCAGTGAGCCGGCTCGGCAGGCAAAGGTACTTGCTGCCAAAACTGGGTTCAATCCCTGAGACCCATGTCCAGAGCACACTTCCCTGCTCTGATAAATAAATAAAATGCAATTTTAAAAGTTAAAAAAAAAAATGTCCTTGGAGTATGTTACTAGTTCAGAGAGTAGTAAGCCTCTAGTAAGATCTGATTGGAAAATGTGTCTTCCATCTTTTCATTTCACCCAGTGAACATTTTATTGAGCACTTGCTGCATGCTGGAGCAGAGTGAACAGGTGGGGTCAGCCGCCCTGCCCCACCCTTGGGACTTGCCAAAAGGCAGAGGTTTGGATTGTTTTATGGGAAGCCTGGGGCTAAGGTGAAGGAAGCAGCGCTTGGGGCAAGCTTGTTGGGCACTCTAACCTTGAGGATGAGGATGGGGAATGAAATGATGCAGCTCAGAAGAGCCGGCTCAAGTGGGAGACATTTTCAGCAGAGCACTTAGAGGCCAAAGCAGGAGGATCAGAAGTTCAAGGTCACCGTTGGCTCTGTACAACTTCAAAGCCAGCCTGGGCTACAGTGAGACTGTCTCAAAAACATGCAATAATGGGCTTGGGATTGTGGCTTAGTTTGTAGAGTGTTTGGCGTGCACAAAGCCGTGGGTTGGATTGCTAATACCACATAAAATCAGACTTAGTGGTACACACTTTTAATCCCAGTGCTCAGAAGGATCAGAAGTTCAAGGCCATCCTTAACCACATAGCAAATTCAAGGACAGCTTGGCCACTCATGACTCTCTCTCTCAGAAAACCAAATAAATAAATATAAAATAAGAAAATGAGAGGTGGGGAGGGGAGAAGACAGAGAAGGCTGGCCCCGGCATGATGGGGTCAGTAGTCTCCTCGCACAGTCATCACTGCTGTCCTATACTGAGTGTTTCCACGAGTCACAAGGTTGCATACTTCCCCCTTCTTTTAAACTAATGTACTTGTGTGTACACACTCACCTTTGAGCACAAGTGCCATAGCGTCCATATAGATGTCAGAGGCCAACTTGCCGGACGTGGATCTCTCTTCCACCATGCAGGCCCTGGGAATAGAACTCATGTTGCCAGGCTTGGGGTCATGCTCCTTAGCCTGCTGAGCCATCCTCCCATCCCTGTAGACCCTTTAATTACAATGTCATATCTAATCCCATCACTTTGTTGACTGGATATTTGTTTAGTCAGCACCTACCATGTGCCAGGCTTTATCGCAGAAGGTTTATCAACAAACCAAGGTCTCTGCTGTCATGGAGTCTGCATTCCAGCCCAGAGGAGATAGATACAGTATAGCAAACATGACAGGACAACACGTGGGCAGGGGGATAAAAACTGGACAAAGAAAAGGGAAAGGCGGGTGACGTGTGTTCACTTAGGAGGATGTTTAGTGCAGGCTAAATTAGAGAGATTTGACAAAGACTTGGAGGAGATAAATCAGCAGAACAGACACGTGTCCAGGCCAAGAAAATAGCGATGGGAACAGGGCTACAGTGCTTGGAGACCAGAAGAGGTCCTGGGTGTTCAGCCAGCAGGAGGCAGAGATGGAGGAGGGAATCAAGTCATGCAGGGCCTGGCATCGTTGGCATAGGGGGTGGAGGTGGGGCTGCTGGGTGTTGGGTAATGGACCCACAACTGTGTAAACGCTATGTCTAACCCAAAAAGCCAGTGTCTTCTCAGCAGTCACTCCCCATTTCTCCTGAATCCAAGCGCCAATGTACCTCCTCCTCAGCCCATCCTTGTCTTTTTTTTTTCTCCTCCTCTCCCTTCACTTCTTCTCTCCTCCCCCACTTTTGGTCTTTAGAGACACGTTTGAGGCTGGCCATGGACTCCACATCTAGCTGAGAATGACCCTGGACTTCTCATCCTTCTCCCTCCCAAATACTATGCTTGCAACAGAGAACACCCACCGGACAGGTTTGATTTCTATCTCTCTGCATTTTTTTTTTTTTTTTTTTTTTTACCCAGTTCATTTAAATGGAATGATACATATGTAGCCTTTGTGGCCTTATTGGGCATGCTTTAGTGTAACAGGGCCCCGGGCCTTAGCACAACTGACTCCATGATGTAATTGTCATTCAGGGCTATAAAACTCAGCACATAGACAAGTACCACCTGCCAAAACGAAAACAAAGGCCTAATCCATCAAAGTCCATACAGTCCCTAAATGAAGTAACCTTCTAGCTAACTGCTCTTGTTAACTGAAGTATGTCAGCCCAGGACATGGATTTTGTGCTTAAAAGCTCATGCTGAGAAAGGTTCATTAGGATCCTGAACACCCAGTGTAGTCTCTGGCCAGCCAGTAAGGGTTTTCTACTGGCATAAATCCATGAATGAGCAGTCTTCTCTGGTGGATTTCCCACATTAGTTCATCTACATTGTAGCATGTGTCTTGATACTTTCATTTTATGGCTGAGTAATATTCTGTTGGAGGAGTCCGCTTTCGGTTCACCTGTTGGAGGTATTTAACTCTTCATTTCAACTCTCCGGCTCTCGTGACTGAGCCACTATTAACAGCTGGAAACGTAGACTTGAATGCTAGAAACATAGACTTGAATCCCTCTTGTATTCACCTAGAAGTGAAACTGATGTGGCTATATGATAATCTCTCTCTCTCCTCACAGCATTGAGTTGAAAGCAGGGCCTCATGTGTGGAGGCAACACTCTCCCAGTGAAGTACGTCCCTCCATGGTTAGCTTGCTGAGGAACCACATGGCTGATTTTCACAGCGGCCGCACCATCTGATATTCCCATATTCCCACAGCCATGCGCAGTGTTCAGACTTCAGATTTCTCCACATCCTTGCCAACGCTGTGTGGACGTGTGTGTTGCTGGGCATAGAACCATGGGCCTGGCATGGTTCTATAACTAGTCGTCAGCTACTCCTAGTTATAACTCCTGCCCAACACCTGACTTATTTAGGTGTTGTTTGACAGGGTCTCATGTAGCCCAGGCTGGCCTTCCGTTTGCAAGGTAGCTGAGGATGATCTTGAACTCCTGACTTACTTCCACCTCCTGCTTGCTGCGATTACAGGTCGGCATCTGCATCCCTGATGCTTGGTGTATATGGGCTGAGGGGGTCTCACCTAGGTCTTTGTGTATTCTAGGTAAGTGCTCTACCACCAATAAAACACACGTCCAGATTTCCCACTGTCTCTAGGCACATTCTCATTAACATACAAATAGACTCTCATGTCTCTGAAAACCAAAACGTCAAGGTTGGACAAGGTGGCTCACACCTACACCCATAATTTCAGTGTTCAGGAAGTAGAGGTAGGAAGAGCAGGAGTTCAAGGCCAGCCAGGGACACGGGAGACCTTAGAGGGGGTGTGCAGTTGGTGGAGAAGAGGCAGGGAGGAGTAATGACTGGAGTGATGTTGTAGAGAATGGGCTAGCGTGCATGAGCCTCACAGGGTCTTACTGTTCGGCCTGGGCTCTCGTACCCTGGGTTATGAGTGCTCATCACCACATGCTGGCAGCACTCATTATATTTTACTGTAATTGTCAAATTTGACTTTTGTTTTGTTTTTTTTGAGACAGGGTTTGGCTGTGTAGCCCTGGCTATCCTGGAACTTGCTCTGTAGACCAGGCTGACCTTGAACTCACAGAGATCCACCTGCCTCTGCCGTCCAAGGGCTGGGATTAAAGGTGTGTGCCACCTTGCCTGGCTTGATTTTTTTTTTTTTAAGATAGGGTTTCTTGTATCCCAGGATGGCTTCAAACTTTATATAGCTGAGAATAATCTTGAATGCCCGATCCTTCTGCCTCCATCTTTCCAGTGCTGGCTTATAGGCCTGCATGGCCATCAGCTTCAATTTAGTATTCCTGGCTTGCTGTACGTATAATTAAAACAATCACTTTTGCCCAATGTCGGCTGAAGAGGCTAGGCAGAATTAAAGGTTCCTTAGCCAGTTGGTGGTGGTACATCCCCTTAATTCCAGTACTCAGGAGGCAGAGGCAAGTGGATCTCTGAGTTCAAGGCCATCCTGGTCTGTAGAGTGAGTTCCAGGACAGCCTTTAGCTGCAAAGCTGAGTCTCGGGAGCAGAGGCACAGAGCGAGAAAGAAGGCTAATTAACGCTACCATTCTTTTTGGCTGAGCTCATTGTCTTTGCTTCTTGGAATCAGTCCTGAGAAAAAAATCTGAAATATGGAGAAAGCTCTGAGGGCAACTCTGTATTTTTTAAGTACAAAGAGGGAGGCCCCTCCGCCGAGGAGATAGATGTAAGTAAGCAGGTGTCGCACGCCCTTGCAGGCCC